AATGAAACGTTTTTATTTTCTTCACAAAAATCCCCCCCCAAACCGTCAGTATCGGCCCTGCTTCTTCTTCTTCTTCTTCTTCGGAGGCTCTCGCGGAGCAGACCAGGAGTGGGGGTGCCTCGATCCCCTTCAACTCGCTGCCGGGAGACCCTGTTTCTCGGGTGGCGGAGGAGCGGAGACGTGGGACGGAGCCCCCGCGGTCCCGTCCCACGGCGCCGTGGCTGCGGATGCTGCGGATGCTGCGGGCGCTGCTGCCAATGGGGGTGCTCAGCGGGCTGGAGCCAGCTGACATGCTGCCCTGTTCTGCTGCAGTTTTGATGGACTCCACCATGGCGTGGAACTGGGGTCCGAACAGCCCGTCCGGGCTGATTGGAGCATCCAGCAGCACTTTCATGGCCGTCTCTGGTACGGATGCCTGCTGCAGCCAGAGGTGCCGTTGAATCTGCGTCACCCAAGCCGCAATCCTCGCCGTTGAGACGGTGACGGATGCGCACAGGGTGAGTGTGCTGGCAGCCTTGCCTATCTCCTCCGAAGCCTCGAGGGCTGCTCTGATAGTCTCACTATGGAGTGAGACAGCAGAGCGATGTTGTTCGCCGCTGCAGACGCCTGGAAGGCAAACTGGTGCATCCGGTCAGTCTGGAGGACAACAACCTGGTCCCCGGGGGAGGAAAGCAAGGGACGCTCCGGGGGAGAAACGGGATGGGGAAACCACACGGTGATCCGTGGTTGGAGGCGGGGTAGGAGTTTTGCCCAGCACTCGGATCCAGCACTCGGATCCAGGAACTCAAGGGCTTGGTACACGTAGTAGGACTCCTGGACTGGCCAATCATCCTCCTCGGCCGCAGTAGCGAGAGCGTCCGTCGCTGTCTGTCGGCCAGAGGGAGACCGGCACAATGAGCACATGACACCTGCTGATACTGGGCGAGAGCGGCGTGCGCGTGCTCCGACCCCAGGCAGGATTCGCATCGTGAATGCCAGTCATAACTGATTATGAACCCCATCTGGCATGAGGAGCAAACTCTAACACAACCCTGTGTACTCATGTTTAAGGATCTTTTTCGAGGTGGCTCCTAAAAGAGCCTTTACTCTTTAGTGTCTCTACAGTGCTTCAGTACCGGGGTGCTGAAGAAAAGAGGGAGCAGATTGTCGGGCCTCCTTCCTATTTATACCGGAAGTGAGTCCGAAGGTGGGGCCCACCTCGCAGGTGGGGCCCACCTCGCAGGTAGGCGTGTACTACAAGTGTTTTCAGTGCTGCGCGGGTGCGCAGGGGATTACCCAATAGTGATAGCCTTAGAGGGCGAAGTCTATACGAAATAGAACAGAGAAGGGAGGGGGAGAGAGCATGCACCATAGAACAAAATACACCACAAAACCAAAGATGATACATAACATGTTGCACACAAAGGGATCACATCTCTAAAAAAAGACGATGGGCAAACCTCAATATAGAAGCTTTGCATTTTAAAAATGACATTCAGTACAACCCTACACATTATATTCACTCATTGATGGTTTGAAAAGTATTTGTTAGTAGTTGTTTAAGTTCTACAAAGTGTTAACATATAATACATATTAAACTACCCATCAGAATAGAAGATCATTTCAATTGTTTCCCTCTTAACATTTTGAATGCATTTACTTGTAATTCTCAGATCTGAGTTGCAGTAGTCTGGCTTAAAAGTTTGTAAAGCAGAGGAGGAAGGTTAGCAAGTCAACAGTTCACTGATAAAATAATGTACTCCTATCCGGACTTGTTTATTCCCATCTCATCCATTTAAGCTGCACAACAACTTCAACAATAGTCTGGCACAAAAACCAACTTAACAACATCATATTGATTTTATACTAACAAATCTTATCTGAAAATCAGATATAACGTGTTACCTTCTGGGCTGGTCATATATTGTCATCTGTTTCCCTGTGTTCAGTCTTTTTGCTAAGATAAGTTAACCTGCTGCTGGTCGTGGCTTCTTGAAGAGTTTTATCTTAGTCAGTGAGAAAACAAATAAGCATGTTTCCCAAAATGTCAACATTCCTTTAAAAATCCTGTGAACACAGTCTTGTTAATAATATGCCCAGTAAGACAAAGCAAGAAGATTAAACATTGAATTAAAGCATCATGAGGTTAACATAATTAATGTAGTTCTTTCCTTAAACCTTTTTTTTTCTTCACCTTCCCCACAGAACTCTAACCTCAGCACTCAGGATCATGAGAACATCATTGTGGTGAGTAGGAAGCTCTCACTATGAGTTGATATTAAATGTCAGGATGAGGTTGAATATCAAAACTCAAAAGCTTCTGTTGGTTTTGATTTTTAAACTTAAAAAAATAAATATTCTGTCCCTTGTGTATTAGTTTGTTTGATCCAGGGAAAGGTTCTTATTTTTGTGTAGACTCTTGCACTTTTTTTATTTTTCCCTTGTTCATTTTACAAGTTTGCCATAGCCCAGATTTGTACGGTTGGCTCCCAGCCAGGATTAAGAAATACTCATGTGTGTGTGTTTGTGTAATCAGGCCATTGCTCCTCTTCTGGAGAACAACCACCCACCACCTGACCTGTGTGAATTCTTCTGTAAGGTGAGATATTGTTGTAGTACACTCAGCACACAGTTTCTGTGGGACGGAGAACCGTTCTTTGAAGTGCTTCCTTTTGTGTGTTGCAGCACTGTCGGGAGCGGCCACGCTCCATGGTTGTGATCGAAGTGTTCACTCCTGTGGTCCAGAGAATCCTCAAACACAATATGGTGAGAAGACTAAACTGTTACAGTAGCAAGGAAAGATATTTAATTGGTTCCCTTTTAGTACATGTTTTTGGTCATTTATGTGCCATTTGCTTCATTCCATCATTCTAGTAGTAGGAACAAAGTTCTGGTAAATCTGATCCAAAAACTTAAAATACTAGATAAAAAAAATGTGCAATGTCTGTTGTGGCAATGTAGCACTCACAACAGGAAAGAATGAAACAGACAGGAATCAATAAAACACAAACACAGATATAGTTGATCAATTATTATTTTGTTGTACAACAAACAATAACTAGAGAATGCAATTCCTGAAGAAATTGCTAGTGGGAATGCTTTATGCTGAAAAGCTGACGCTAAACTGCTATGCTGAAATGTAATGTGTAAGAAGAAAGTGAAGAATTTAGATTGAAATGATACATGAACACTGGGGGCTTGAATGTGTGATGAGAGAAGAAAAGAAAGTGAAAAGGCTTGCAATAGCAGCAGAATATTTGAACCGCAAACTTCTGAACTAACTTGATGGCGAATGATCTGTCGCCATGGCAACGGCATTTGATGACACCCCATAATACGCTTAGATGCGTTGATGGCTGCATTGTTACCAAACCTGTGAAGTTTTGGGCCTGTTCGGAGTATTTTCACTGAAGTTATGAGAAAACCGTGTTTCAAGGCGAGCATTGTGTTGCCATGGGAACGGCATTTGAAGAAATCTTAGAACTGTCCGTAGTTGTCTTCACGGCTGGACTGTTTGCACACTTTTGAAGTTTGAGCACTTTTTGAACATTTGCATAGGAGTTATAGCCACATCATGTTTTATGGCGAGGGATGCGTTTCCATGGAAACGGCATATGGTGAGATCTCAGATTTGGCGTAGAGCTGTTGAGGCATGGACCGGTGATATACAAGTGAAGATTGG